TGAATGTTTCTGTTCAATTATTAATTTATAGATGAATGTTTCTGTTCAGTTATTATTTTATACATGAATGTTTCTGTTCAATTATTATTTTATATTTGAATGTTTCTGTTCAATTATTATTTTATACATGAATGTTTCTGTTCAGTTATTATTTTATACATGAATGTTTCTGTTCAGTTATTATTTTATACATGAATGTTTCTGTTCAATTATTATTTTATACATGAATGTTTCTGTTCAGTCCCTGAGACGACTTCTGTTGAGACTTGGAGCTTTAGAAATAAACTGGATTGGACTGAAATAGAGAAGAACAAATAAAAGAAAATGGTATTAAAAAAACAAAACAAAAACAGCTAGGTTGTAAAGAGATGTAGAAAATGAAAATCAGACACATGTCCTGCGTTGGTTTTTGTTCATCTGTTGACTCTCTAACATCATGTTGCTGCTGATCTCTCATGTTGCTGCTGATCTGTTTCATGTTGCTGATTATTTCATGTTGCTGCTGATCTGTTTCATGTTGCTGATTATTTCATGTTGCTGCTGTTCTGTGTAATGTTTTGTGCTAATAGTACTTAGTGTTTTCTTAGTTTAGCGTATTTTTTACTTTATTAGATCTTGTTACTATTTTTATCTTATACTTTTGTTGGATGTAGAATTTGATTTGATTGGTCTCCTTCCTCTGTATCCAGGGTTCTGATTGGTCTCGGTCCTCTGTATCCAGGGTTCTGATTGGTCTCGGTCCTCTGTATCCAGGGTTCTGATTGGTCGATGGCTGCTTGTCAGGAAGAAAGAGGTTCTGTGTTCGGATCCTCTCGGTGGATTACAGACCGAGCCTAGCAGGCCCAGGTAGACTCGGTTCTGACGGTTCCGAGAGACCTGGACCCACCGACGCACACAAAGCCCGTCCTGGACTAGGCTCGAGTCTTTTACCCCCCAGGAGGATTGTTGCTGGTTCTGCTGAGCCGGACCGGGTCAGTACCAAGCTCCATGGAAGAAGTGGGCCAAGGTTCGGTTCGGCTGCCGGAGGAGAAGCAGTGACGGGGGACTCCTGTTGAACCAGAACCTGTTTACTTCCTCCGTCCGCTTCAGGTGAGTCCAGTAGAACCGACCGAACCGAACCAGCAGCAGTTCTGCTGAGGCCCCGGTCCGTTTGTGTGTATCCGCCCAGCACCAGAACACCAACCGGACCTCCTTCCTGGTGGTGTTCTGGATCCTGTGGTTCCCCCCGTGATCTGCAGACATGTCTTCTGAAACACCAGAGCAGAACCGAGCCACAGGAAGGTTCTGGTCCACCTCACAGCTCTGTAACTTTAAAACCGGTTACTTCCATCAAATGAAGACTGGACCCGGGTTTGAACCTGCGCACCTCACGTGTTCGAGCTGCTGCCGTCACCATGGTAACCACGGCTGGCGACAGCCTGTCACCATGGCAACCACAGCTGGCGACAGGCTGTCACCATGGCAACCACGGCTGACCGGCATACAGGCAGACTGAAAACGAAGCCTCAAACAGTGACAGGCAGGAGATGCTGATGGCCACACGTGGACCTTCTCTCTGTCTGCTTCATGGAGGAAATATGAAAAGTTAAGAATGTTCTTTAGTTTTCAGTAATCCAGGTAGAAGAATGAACAAAGTCAGGTGAAGTCCTCTGGATGGAGGACCTCACCTGACTTTGTTCATTTAAACCAAGAAGTTTCAAACGTCATTTTGAATTTGATGCCAGCAACACGTCGTAAAAACACGACGCAGGTCCACGTCTCTTCTGAGACTTCACCCCACGGTCTGGAAACATCTGGACCTGAGGAGACCAGTTCTGGAGGGAATGCTCTCTGAAGGATTCCAGCTTTTCAGCAGTGCTGAGTCTTTACTGGATGGAGCAGATGTTCTAAAACACCATCATTATGAGTGACCTTTGACCCCTGCACCTTCATGTTGAGATGTTTGTTTTAGGACTGACGCCTGTGATGGACGTTTGTTGGATGATGTTTGACCTCATTTCTTCTTCACGTGTATTTTTGTCACGATGCTCCACGGAGCTCTTCAATCATTTCCTGCTGCACTTTACCACACGACCCAGTTTAGTTGGAACTGTGTGTGTGTGTGTGTGTATAAACAGTTTCAGCTGCAGATCATCAAAGTCTGCTGACTGGTTCTGCTCTGACCTACAGCTCGTTGTTCTCGATGTTCTTCTCAGTTTTTATCCTTCACCCGTTGAGTTCTGTAAACTTGTCTGGACCAGAACTTCTGATCTGCTCAAGATAATTAACGGACTTCATACACATCTGCATCATCACTGAATGCAGAGCTGCAGAACGTCTTCATCAGCCGAGCTCTAAGGTCAAGGTCAAAGGTTATAGAAGGTCTTTGTGGATTGCTGTATAGCAGTTTGTTGACGATCAAGGGTCAGGGTTGTTTGTCACACTTCACCACATGTGGTTCATGAGGTGGAACAAAACTGTGCTCATGGTCCCAGTTACAACCAACAACAGCAAAAATATAAACTGGAAAAGAACCAGTAGATCAGGATCTGACATCTAAAGTAAGACATCCTTTAACAAAACAATACACTGAATAACAGCAGCACGAACATGAGTCATTGTGGGTGGATGAGTATGAATGAATGAATACAGCAACATGAAATAATCAGCAGCATGAGATCAGCAGCACATGTCAACAATCAAGCTGCATCACAGAGATTCTCCTGGTTAGAGGTTCATGAGTCTAACAGCCTCAGGGTAGAAGCTGTTCCTCAGTCTAGTGGTTCTACACTTAATGCTCCTCAACCTCCTTCCTGAGGGGAGTGGGGTAAAAAGTGTGTGTGCTGGGTGGGTGGGGTCCTTCATGATGCAGGTGGTCCTCTTCCTGCATCTGGAGGTGTAGATGTCTGTGATGGTGGGGAGACTGACTCCAACATCTTCTGTGCAGCCTTCACCACTCTCTGCAAAGCTTTTCTTTCTGCAGCATGACAAATAAAGAACCTCTAATCCTTGGAGAATAAATATATATATAAACATATGGTTATGATATAATAACTAAAGGTTAAATCGTGTCATTTGGACCAGCTTCTTTAAGTGAGAGACGTTTCCTTCTCCATCCGGAGGACTTCCTCAGTCCATGACCTTCCAACCAGATCAGTCTCATAGGCAGCCTTCACTGCTGGGCTTCAAGACGACTTCCTGTTGGAACCTCAGAGGAAGACTAACACGTGCAGAACAATCCTATGTCTTGGTCCATGTGTCCGACCTGGGTCTCTGTCCTAAAACCTCTGGTTGTACTGGGTGTTGAACTGGGTGTTGTACTGGGTGTTGTACTGGGTGTTGAACTGGGTGTTGTACTGGGTGTTGTACTGGGTGTTGAACTGGGTGTTGAACTGGGTGTTGTACTGGGTGTTGTACTGGGTGTTGTACTGGGTGTTCTCCATGGCGGCTGATGGTTTTGGACGGTGTGCCTGTTCCACACTTTGACGAGCTGTAGGAGCTGCTTTAATCACAGACTTGGCGCTTGGTCTTCTAACTTTAAACTGATTTAAGTTGCAACGTTTAACATTCAGCAGCTGAGTCACATGGTACGGACCACGCCCATTTCTGCCTTTAATCATGTAGTTTATTTTAAATGGATTTAAAACCATTGTCCATGTCCTTTGACTGGTTTTCAAGGCTTCTGTGAACTCCCATCTAAAACCTACGTACCGTTTGGATCATGAATTTCAAAGGAAGAGTAATGTTCATGAAACCTTCGCTCCCTTCTGATCCAGTTTTATTTCTCAGCTGTTTCAACAGATCATCAGAACGTTCGGCTCTTTCTGGACAATCCTGCTCTGACTTTTAGTATTGGTGCAACTTTAGCTGTTTTCTGCTCATAGAAAAAGAACTGAGCTCGTTCTCCATCCTTCAGATCTTTACATGTGTTCACAACCTTTTACTGCTCCTGACACATTTTGTTCGGCTTCAGCTACTTTCAGCTTCCTGCTGAAAATTTAAACTAATTTTCAGCTACTTTCAGCTGTTCTTTGCTCATTTCTGCTTCTTTAAACCTAATTAATCAAATTTGTGTTCTTTCTTCTGCCAGCTTCGGCTGGTTGCCACATGCTGATCTGATGCTGAGAACAGAAAAAACATCCGTCTCAGAAGGTGCAACCGTTTTTATATAGAACGGTTTCTTTTCACAAAGATGGCCTCCTTTACTCCTCTCTCAAACCATCGTTCCTCTCGGTCCAGGATGTGAACATCTTCATCCCTGAAAGAGTGACCTCTGACCTGGAGATGAGTGTAGACCTCAGGGTCCTGGCCTGATGATGTTGATCTTCTGTGCTGGGCCATCCTTTTGGCCAGTGGCTGTTTAGTTTCCCCGATGTAAGACTGATCACCCTCCTGACACTGAACAGCGTACATGGTACATGGACTGCACCTATACAGCTCCTCTCTGTCTGATCCAGACACTCAGAGCTCTTCACAACAATCTGTGCCTCATTCACCCGTTCATACAGCTCTATACTAGATCTGTACAGACACTAATCAGAGCTTTATCACATGGGACACACATCAGAGGTGATGAGGGCTTCAGGTCTTGCTCAGGGGCACTTGGGCATGTGACTGTTTCTTCTGTTCTCTGCATCAGCTCAGGTCCGTGTGCATCAAGGACAACGTGAGCCCGAGCGTTTAGGTGACGGGCCACAGAGTGCCCCCTCAGTGAGGACTGCACTAGACTAAAGGACCTTCTCCTACTCCGCTCCTGTTTCCAGGAATATGTTGTAAAAACATCTGAAGCTCTCGACCTTTGACCTCTCTGACCTCAAACATCTGATAAGTTCATGAGATCAACCAACACAGACATGTTCCTGTTTGTAGTTTTCTACTCCGCCTTGTAATCGAGCTGTTCTTATTTTTCACTTGGTTAGCTTTTGATGATTGTCCACTGTCGTCATCACTCTGTTCAAAGCAGGTCTCTCTGGTAAATGAGCCGCGGGCTCAGTGGGACTAACTGCTTAAATAAAGGTGGAATGGATCTGCCTGAGAAGAAAGAAGCACATTTACCTGCTGGTTCTTTAGAGTCCGCCTGCTTCATCCGTCACCAGCCACAGCTCAGCACGAGACCATCTGCACTGAAGTTCAGGAGGAAGCGGGTGATCATGTACGAAACAAAGGGTGCTGCTCCTTTGAATCACGTGGTCACGTGTCCCTCAGGTCATGTGACCACTCGCCTTGGTCATGTGTGCCTTCAGCCACCTCTGCATGTTGAGACTATAAACCTGGTTCTGGCCCGGTCAGGTGAGCGGACAGTGCTGTTCTTGTTGAACCAGGTCATGTTGCAGCAGAACTTCCTGCCTGCACACAACAGAACCATGTGGGTTCCTCACAGAAACGGAGATGGTCAGACATGGCTCTGCCACGGCCCTGCAGGTCATATTTACTGCACACGTGTTTGGTGGGAGAAGATGTTGCGGGGTTGATGGTTCGTGTCTGGTGTTGATGAGCTGCTGTAGTCACTGTCCACTGCTTGGTGCCAGATGTTGCTGCTCATCACTGACTCTGAGCCTAAAGTTTGTTCTGACATCTGCAGCAGCTGTAAAGTAAAGAAGCACGGTGCTTTCTTTGACAGCTGCTCCTGTGCAGCTCTCCTTGCAGCTCGGGATGGCAGGAAATGGACATCTAAAAATAGACCGCATGCTTTAAGGCTTGGCTGCTCTGTGCCTGTCAAGTCCCAGTGTCCTCATAACATCAGCCTCTGATCTACACCATCATCTCAAGAACATCAGCCTCTGATCTACACCATCATCTCAAGAACATCAGCCTCTGATCTACACCATCATCTC